TTATGAGTTGTTAGATAGTTAACACACTCAAATTGGAGTTTTTTTATGAAAATTTGTGATTTTTAGAAGTTCTGACCCGATTTTGACCTATGGTGAACCTAATTGTTTACTTTTTGACTTTGACCAAATTTTGGAGGTTTGAAATTTTTAGAAAATACTAGATTTTAATTAGATTCATTAGCCTTTGAGTTTAATTGGTTTGAAATTTTCTACAATTACTTATGAATTTTAGAAATTTGGGTATTTTAAGGATTTATTTAATAGTTATAATTAAGGGGCCTTTTAATGATTTGAACCCAAACAATTCCTAAACTCCTTGAAATCTGCTCCAAAGATCATAAATAATCTAAGGAGAGATCAGCAACTGTTTAAAGAATTTTTGGGATTTTTTTAATGATTTTAATTAATTAAAATTGGTTAAACATTTATTTTTGGTTAAAATTAAATTAAGGTTGAGCTTGGTGTCAAATTAAAAGGAGTTCAATTTCATTGATTAAGAGTTCAATTATGGTTGATTAGAGGTATTATGGATGAATTTTAGAATTAACAAGAATTGTTGGTGAATTAATTAGGCTCTAGGTCATTTCTAAGGGGGAGATTTTTTTGGCTCCTAATTGGTGGACCAAATAGACACCAAATCCATTGAAATTTGGACCATGAGATCACCTAATCTCAGGGCCTAAACACACTAGATTTGAGCCCAAATGGAATTCTCTACCGGGGCTAACCAAGCCACCTAAGGTGATCCCTAAGTCACCTTAGAAAAATCCTAGGGAGTTATCCTAGGGTTAGATTGGGGAAAAATCACTGGCCCTAAACTTCTTATGCTACACATTATCATCATACTCAAAATCAGATCCTAAACCTCATTAGATGGACCATGATTCTAATTTGGATTTAAGGGTCAAACCATGACCCTTAAACCAAAATTGGCATAATAATGCCCTTAGACACTTTAAATAGGGGAGATAAAATTTGGAAATGTCTAAGACATGCCTAAATTCATTCCCTCAAGATTTCAGGCTCTCGTGAATTTAATTTAATCAATAAATGCAATAATTGATAAAATATTCAAATCAAAATTAAATTTAATACAGATGTAATTAGAGCCTAGAACCATAGGGCTTTTATAGATCTCCCTGAGATCTTTTCAATAAGCCTAAGAATGCCTAATTTGGTCAAATGTGTAGGGAGATATTAATTTTTTAAGTTTCCCATTATTTTAAATTTAATTAACCCGGGATTACACAGTCAGCGGGCGCTTTTACATACGGTGCGCCCTGATTGGTGAGCCAATTATTAGAGCTGACTGTGTAATCATGGAATTAATCCTAGCAGTCGGATCAAGGATCGAACGGATACGATTAAATGGCTTTAGAACCGTAGGATCGAACACGGACCGTTGATCCTGATCAACGGTTACGATTATATCTTCAACCTCCTGCCATTTCCTGAAGCCATTGAGTTATTCCGGCGTGATCCGAATGATCGAGCCAGCAGATTCATGCCAAATTTCATGTGAAGCATCACTATGATGGAAACCTTCAATCTAACGGTGGAAATCCGTTGGAGTGAATGTTTCCTTCACATTTGACCAGGCTACCTATCTAGGGAGCTCGGGAAGGGGTTTAGACCTTAGAGAAGGGCTCAACGAATGAGTTTCTCTATCAAAAAGCTTTAGGGGATGAAGGCGAGCAGATCTCCTTCAGACGTTAGGATCAGAGGATTGCTGAGGTATGACTTCGAGCGGAGTGTGAGATGTTTTCGCTGGAGTTTGCTTGAACGGATTTGGCAGAGTGTCTGGGAGACTAGGAAATGAGAGAGGAATTATGAGGGAGCTATGGGGAGTGATTTCAAAAACTTGGAATCAAATCACAGCCTCTAGAATATACTGCCCTATTTAGCTTACTCCCACAAGATTGGACGACTGGGATTGACTGGGAGAAGCTATGGATCACCTTCAGGTGGACAAGTGGCTCATCCTAATGGCTCATGAGCTCATGGCAGTAAAGCCCAGGCTTTGAAAGCCTTTGGACAGAGCTCGAGGATGGGAGGATCATCGGAGCTAGTTCTCTATCACCTCTTGCCATTACTGACCAAGGACTGGGTCAGGCTGATCTGGAAAGGTTGTTGGGAGCGTGGCAAGCTCAATGGTGAGCACAATTGGACCTGAGGAAGTCCTATTCAGTGGTAGAGCTCGAGTCAACCAAAACCTGCTCGGTTTGGGTTGATTTGAGCTCAGCCTGGGTCAAGCCAGATCTTGGGCTTAAGGTGGAAGATAGGTCTAGGTCTGGTCCACCCACTGCAAGCGACAATTGGGTTCAATCTGGCTTAATTTCAAAAATGGTTCAGGTTGATCCAAATCTGCACGGTTTGGGTCAAATTAGGTCCAACCCAGGTAAGACTAGACCCTGGGCTTGATGTGGGAAGTGGGTCTGGGTCTGGTCCACCCAATGCAAGTGGAAATTAGGTTCAAATAAATCTAAGATGGAAAATGGCTCGGGTTCAAGTGGTTTTGACCACTTTGAGTTAACACAAAGGTTGACTCAAGTCAACCCAAGGCTTGGGCCAGCTTGGGCTAGTAGGTGAAAGGTATTGCACATGGTTGACTTTGTTAATCAGGATAAAGTGAGTGTTTCAATGAAGTGTTAAGAAGGTATTAAATATAAATCCAAGGTCTAAGTTAAACTGAATGTTGAAAATAATCATATTGTATACTTAGGGGTATTTTGGTAATTTTGCCTCTAACTATAGTCAAAGGGTTGACCATCACCTAATTTTGGTTTTGAATGAATAAAATAAAATTTTGAAGAGTTCTAAAGGAAGTGACTTAGTTTAATATAGATCAATTAAGATGCCAATTTCTTTGAATTTTGGACATATTTAGTATTTTTAGATAAATGGATAAAATCAAGAGAATTGATGGTAACCAATGGTCAAAGATAAGTCAAATCCATTCAAGGGCAGTCTTAAAATGATTTGGTTCAAACTCAAGGTCATCGACATGGGTTTAGTCAAGTTTAGCTAATGAATGGCATGGTATGAAGTTTATGTGTAATGGTTTTGAATTTAGGTTTGATTTAGGTTTTAAAATTTGGAAATGAATAAAGGTGAGGTAAGAGGTTTACTAGTGTCATTAAGAAGTATTCTAAGAATGTAATTTTGTCGAAAACCAGATACCTCCTAGAGTCCCTATAGGCTAGGTCTAAACTAAGCTAGGAAACCTAGCACTATATATGAGAGATAGGAAGAACTTGACCTTCTTTAAAATGAGGTTGACATGGGGAGGCACTGCTTATACAAGATAGTGAAGCCTCTCTTAGGAGAGGTATTAGAGAAGAAGAAGTTAGGCAAAGAGCAATTCATATTTCTGGAGGGGCCTTGAAAATTAATATATAGGAGTATACCTTTATATAGGACAATATTTTATTGGAGCCTGCAAAGGGCGAGACACTCCCTATACAAGATAATGGAAGGTCTCTCTTATGAGAAGAATGGGATAAGAAGAAATTGTGTAAAGTTTATTATATTTAAGGAGGGACATTGGAGCTTGAAAGGGGGATACACAATGCCTAACCAAGAGAGTGTTATATTATAGCCTACTAAATTAAGGGGGACACCACCAATACAAGACAGTGGAGGGCCTTTCTTGGTAGAAGAATTGGAGAAGAGAAGAGGGTGTAAGTATCTCCCCTTTGAGGACGTATTTATACATTAAAAGTGTGAGAGGTACAAATATTAAAGAGAAGGATTGGAGTTACAAAAATTAAACCGAGAGAGTTATACAAGTTAAAGAGGAGTTATAAAAATTAAAGATAGTAAATTACAATAATTAAAGAGGGGATTAAAAAGTTAAAGAGATAGAAGTTAAAAGGAGTGGAAGTCAATGAAGTTGAGGTTAAAGAGTACGAAGTAAAAGAAAAAAAAGTTTAAGAAATAATCTAAAAAAGTTTTAAAAAATTAAAAATTTAAAATATATTTTTTAGATGTAACAAGCTTCAACATCCAAAACAAAAGGGGGCAAATGATATTTCTAAGAAAACATTATATGATTGGCACGAATCTTTAGGCAAAATTTAAATTGAAAACTTTCAAAATTAAATTTAAGATCATCTGAATTTTAATTTATGCAAACTTATAATCAAATTGAATATCTCAATAAGTCGAACCCAAAAGTGGTTCCAATCAAAGCCTAAATGAGACCAAATTAATTAAGGACGTGATGAAAAAATGCAACTTCAAACATTTTTTGGATGACCAAATGATCCCAAATTTCAGCATTGTTATTGTCAAATTAATCTTCTCGACGAGCCCAAGATTACATAATTATGACATTATTAAAGCACTTAATTGTTGAAAAAATGATTCATAATAAAGAAAATCAATATAGACTATATGATAGTGTCTTTTGAATTCTGATTCAAATTACTTGAAGGACTATCCCAAAAAGTCTTTAAATAGATCATCATTCTTCACATTAAGAAGAGGGAGGAATTGTGGAGAGAACTAGAGAGCTATTTTGCATTTACCAGTTGTCAACGCCAATGACTACGACCAGCCATCACAGTCGACAACAGCTATCAACCATAGTTATGCCATCATCTCCAAACTCCTACGAAAATATAACCATATTATTGGGTATTAATTGTTTGCTAGTGGACATCAAATTTTTATAATTCCTATTTATAAAGAAAATCAAGCTATGTTGTTAGGTATTAACTATTCATCTCTTAACACTTGATTTCTACAATCACCACATGAAAAATCAAATATTTGTTCTAAAATAATCCCATTTTCTTCAACTATGAGTAAGGGGAGATTTTTGTATGTCCTTCTATATAGTGTATTTTTCAATTGGATCAGGCCACAAGATTTTCCCCTCTCGAATTTTTACATAAAATGTATTTTGTTCTTGCATCTTTTATTTGTGTACTGAATTTTTAGAAAAGATACCTACTCAATATATTAAAATTTTCTATCATATTATATATTAAATATATTTATTTCTCTCGACCACGATGGAGGTTGAACAACCCATAATACTTTCCAGTATGCCCCATTTCCATTAAGGATGCATGATCTCCTTTCTCCACTAAAAGGCCATTTTCGAGTAGAACAATAAGGTCGCAGTTCATGATGGTGTTGAGCCTATGTGCAACCACCACTGTGGTCTTTCCTCTCATCACCCTCTCCAATGCCTCCTTCACAAGTTTCTCTGCTTCGCCATCTAGCGCACTCGTTGCTTCATCCAGGAGCAATATACTTGGATTTCTAAGTATCGCCCTCGCAATCGCAATCCGTTGTTTCTGTCCGCCGGAGAGTTGCACCCCTCTCTCCCCACAATTTGTATCATAGCCATCCTTGAGCCCACATATGAAGTCATGAGCATTCGCCGTACGCGCAGCGGCCTCCACCTCCGCATCGCTTGCTCCCTCTGATCCATACAAAATATTCTCCTTTATTGTCCCGATGAACAAAGTTGGCTCTTGCCCCACCAATGCAATGTGTCTTCTCAATGATCGCAAATGATAGTTTTTAATGTCTTGGCCATCAATACGCACCTCTCCATCTAGCGGGTCGTAGAACCGCTCAATAAGACTGATGATAGTAGACTTGCCGGAGCCGCTAGGGCCAACGAGTGCAGCGGATCGACCTGCCTCGAATGAGATGGAGAAGCTTTTAAGGACCAACACTCTGGGGCGAGATGGATAGGAAAAAGAAATGTTACTGAGCTCAATTTCACCCTTGATGGAGTCGACTTTATGACCCTCATGATAATCTGGCTCAATCTGGGTGGCTCTTTCCAGAATGGATAGTATAATGGAAGCTGAGCCTACACCATTAATGAGGTCCATTGTCATGGCACCAGCTTCAGCTATTATGCGGGCACTTCTGAAGAGAATGATAAAAGTTTGCAAGAAAGCTTTAGTAGTAATGGATCCCTGGGAAAGCATGATGCCACCATACCAAAAGGGTAGGGCCCATGAGCAGATAATGATGCCATTCGCGGAGCCAATTACTATGCCATCAAGCAAAGAGTGTTGAATGCCTTGCCGACGGGGCTCAGCTAGTGTCAGCATGAAGAGGTGGAGGATGTGCTCTTGAGAAGAGAAGGCAGTGATAGTGCGAATATTTCGAACAGCTTCCATGGCTAATCTATTGCTATCTAACTGTGCGTTCAGTCCCTTGTGCCATGATATCTTCAACAGCACACCTTTCATGTAATAGCATGCAATGAGAATCGGTTGCACGGAAATCATAACCAATGCAAATTTCCATGCAGTTGCAAGCCCCACAATATATGAGATCAATATTATGGATAACGTCTGAATCATAAGTGACAATCGGTCTCCAACTAATGATTGTAAGAAGCGAGCATCTTTGGATATCTTTGAGCAGATGGCCCCACTAGAGTTCTCCTCTTGATCAAACCAGCCAACTTCGAACGTCAACATCTTATAAAGCATACCCTCTCTGACACTTTTGGTCAAATAATGACCCATGATGGAAAAACTGCGGTCCATGAGAATGTAAACAGCAAAACCAAACACTGAGATTGCCAAAAGGATTATGCAACAAGTTCTTGTCTTTGCGGTAATCTCTGACTTATCCTTCTCAAAATAGATTGACAGTACATTAGTCATGGTGTATGAATATAATGAGCTGGGTAGTCCATATAGCGCAGCACACACACACCCTAATAATGTGTAATGCCAATTTGGCATGGTCATGATTAGAAGTCGTCGGAATGACGGTGCACTTCCTTTTGTGCCTCTAGCATTTTCCAATTTGTCTCTTACCCAACTATCTTGAAAGGACATGGTTTGGCTTGACAATGAATCATAGCTTTGGTTACGAATAAAGTTTTTGTTGCTTACATGGGAGTAAGGAGATTTTGGCGGGGGGTTAGCTTCAGTGGCATCCAGTAAGTGAACAGCGTGTTGGGATTCTTGAAGGCGAACAAATTGGGAGTAGTGACCATCAGGGAAGCTTATGAGATGGTTATGAGAGCCGGACTCGATGACTTGACCGGAATGGATGACAACAATGGTGTCGGCACGACGAAGTGTAGAGAGGCGATGAGCGATGACAATAGTTGTGCGACCGATAGTAACAGTATCAATAGCTTCCTGAATGTCGTGCTCAGACTTGGTGTCTAGTGCGCTGGTGGCCTCATCCAATAGAAGTATCTTCGGTGATCGAATGATAGCTCGTGCAATGGCAATCCGTTGCTTTTCACCGCCAGAGAGTTGAACCCCTCTTTCACCAACCTTCATGGCATTAACAAACATCATTACCAAAAAAATCACCAATTTAGTGCATCCTAACAAATTGAAGTGCAGTAATACGAAAGTTCGATGGATAAACTGTCTGGCAAAAATATGAATTACTCTACTTATTTCATCGCATTATTATTTAAAAAAACCTTCATATATTTGTTGAAGAAATTCTTGAAAGAACTTTCTATAATAATTATTTTTAAATTATGATTTTTATTTTAAAAATAAAATTTAATCAATATAAGAAAGTTATGAAGGAAGATAAGAAATTAGAAAAACAAAATTCTATAAAAAAATTCATTAAAGGTTTCATCTTCCCAGCTTGAAAATTTTCTCACTGTTCCTTATGCAAATTTGTATTAGGATCCGATTCACCGTACCCCTTTCAATTGAGAATGAGTGCTATATATTTATTGATTCATGCACGCATATTTTCATACATTTCATACATTTCAATATGAACAGATGAATGATAAAACTATATATATACAAATGCGTGCAAAAGATTCTCCAATTAGAGATCATATCCCATTTAAAATTTTAATTAGAATGGACTTTAAATCATTAAATCTACATGTTTTGAGGCAGGCAAAAAAAGTTATTTATATATTACACTCATTTTAAAGCATTCACTTTTATCTTCTTTTCTAGCAAGCACATCCCGACACAAGGCGTTTTCTTTGCCTTAAAGGCTAGTCCTTATTTATTAGGTAAACTAGATTGAAATTGTCATTAATGTTGGCTAGTTGCTTCTATGGGCCGATTAGTTTTTGTAGAGTATGATTTTTTCGATCAATAGTGTTGTACTATTGACTCAATATTAATTTCCTTGGTTGAGAATCGTAGCATTGTAAATCCAGCACCATGACACTATAGTTCTAGTTCTGGGATAAAAATCTCAGTGCAACAACACTGTAGTTCCAGTGTCGCAGCACCATAAACTAATTTCTACCATGTTGTATGTTTAGCTCCACGAAGTTGTGAGCCCATTTTGAGATGGAGGAGTCAGCGTTGAGGTGTGCTGTGTCAATTTTCTATTTATTTATTTAGGAGTTGTAAGTAATTGGAGGGTATAACTCTTATGCATCTACATCTAAAGATGGTTGACATGAATGTGAAATGAAGATGAGAGAGTGAGTGTGGACGATCTATGCAAGTTCTTTCATTTTTTATAGTGGATCTATTGGTGTGGTGTGACTTTATGGGTTTTTATTTTTTAATTTTTATTTTTCATGCTAAATCTTGGTGTTCTTTCTTCATTGTTGTTTTCTTTTCTTGTTTGTTTCGTTCTTTGTTTACTCACAACATCTAGTATCAGAGCCACTTTATTTGGTTTAAGTTGGAGTAATTGTTGATAAAATAAAGTACGACATTGAGAAGTTTAATGGATTATACTTTTGGAAGATTTAAATTGAAGATATGCTATATTAGAAGAAGCTATATTTTTGGTTGGATGGCATCACCAAGAAAACCTTAATTGATGACTATGGAGGGATGTAAAGTACTTTATTGGAAAACCTTATATACTTTCACTTTCCTTGTCTATTGCTATCAACATTATTAATGAGAGGATTACTATTGATATCATGGGTGTACTAAAAAAGATGTATGAAAAGCCTTTCTCTTCAAACAAAGTTTTCCTAATAAAGAAATTATTCAACTTGGCAGATAGTAGTTCAATAGTCAAACATCTAAATAATTTAAATACTGCAAAAGTAAGCTATGTTGTATTGGCATCAAGTTTTATGATGAGACTAGGGATTTATTACATCTATCTTCAATGCCAGATAGTTGAATTGGTCTAGTTACTGTAGTAAGTATTCTTTCAGGAATGCAAAGTTAAAAATTGAGGATTATTGTGGGGGTAGTACTAAATGAAAAAGTTTATAGGAAAGGGAATGGTGAAACTTTAAATTCTAGCTTGAATTTTAAAACAAAAGGAAGGGCTTTAGGTGAAAATTCAAGTCGAGGAAGATCTAAATATGTTAAGTGAAAATTAAGTAATATTTTGTTATCTTAAATTATAGTAAAAATATTTAGTTTTAGTTGAAGTTGTGCAGGAAAGGCTTAAGAAACAGAGAAAAACTCACAAGTGTTGAACCAGTACCATATCGCCCAAACAATCAGAATCGTAGCATTTTTAATGCCCCGGTGTTAGAATAGGAAATTGCAATGCCATAGCCCTGGGAAAAATATTAATTAATTCAATGCCCCAATAGAGCCAACGTTTGCATCGCAGCGCTTCATAATGTCTCAATGCCAAAAAGAGAGGCCAGAGGGAGGGTAGATACACATTTTAGAGTGGCTAACCAACATTGTAGAGAGCAAGCAAATAATTGGAGAGAAAAGGAGTATGGAGAGTAAAGGTAACAAAGGGAGATTAACATTTGGAACGATTCATTAAAAGAGTCTGTTTGGGAAGCTTCATTACTATAACTAATGAAATTTGTATTGTTCAATCTTTATTCTATAGTTAAACTCGTAGTTTTGGATTAATGTTGGAAAACCTAATGTAGGTATTAATATAGACTATTCTAATTTAAAAAATCAATGGTTATTTTAAGTATCGCTCATTCGTAATGTAATCTATACAGTGGTCATGTGTAGGATTAATACTTAGTGTGATATATTGCCTTGACGGAGGAATATTAGAATAATTATGAGTATTAAAATAAAACTATTGCATGACTAGACATATGATTTTTAGTGTTCTAAGTTCTATGGAGATAAAATAATTGAATATAGGCTATAAACCTTTCTTTACATCCTTACAAGCTCAATAAAGGTCTAAGGATGCATATGGTTTGATTCATAATTAATTTATGAGTGTCTACTTAGAAAAACTTAAGAGATTTCACAGTCATTAATCCAAAAATGTTATCTATTGGCATCTTATTGTTCTTCTGCATCTCTAAATTCAAAGAGACTTCAAAACTAATTTTCATTTTATAGGATAAATTATGTAGCTAGAATAGACAATACTAGAATAATTACATAGAAACAGAACACCTTCTGGCCAGATTGACACTCTAATATCACATTTAATAGTTGATCGACACGTGCACATGTAACTCGGCTAGACATGTTGACAAAGATAGTGACAGTTGATAAATTGAAGCTATGTTTAGCTTCAGTTAGTCTTTATGAAAGTTAATACAAGGGTGAGCCACACCACTATTTTTCTTTCTATGTCTATGCTATATAACCTTAAAAGAATTGATCACAATTAGTTTTCGAGAGGAAGATTATTAGTTTTTGTTTCTTACTTTGTGACCTAGGTAACTCTGGCTAATTCTTTTAGCAGTCCCTGAGAAGTCATCCAAGAAGAGTGCCATATTGATACTCAGCTAGCAATATTCAATTATTACTTCGAGAATATTAAAGCTTGATTTGAGGTACTTGTCAGCATACCTAATCTACTTGGATAGAATAGTCTACGTGATAATAATACCCATCCATAAGATTGGCATTAAGCTCAAACAATTCTGCCAAGTTGACCATAGCAACATTCGAATACTCTACTTGTAATATTCTCATGTGCAAACTAACTTGCAACAAAGATTTTGGCGCACCTCTAAAAATAAGATCACAATCCAAAACATAGAATATTTTCATTTTCTTTTTTTGAAATTTCTTTTTGGCCAAGTTTTTCATGCAAAATTCTCAATTCCATTCACACTTCTTTGATAATTTTGCGGAATACTCTTTCAAGCAAGGGGATAGCCAAGATTTCTACTCTGTATATTCAAACACAACTAGAAATATGAGTTTTCTCTTTTGATCTTGATCTCTTGAACCCAGCCGTCCCACTGAAGCTCGTTTATCCAAATACAATTAGTACGATTTGGTTAAGTTTAACGTATTAGATTTTATTCAAACATTTTAGTAGTGATGAGTAACTATTTGGCTCAAACAACGAAAAAATATGCTAATAATCTTGATGGAAAGAATATATAAAAGGATGAGATAATCTAGCATAATGTAGAGCAATAATGATCACAACTTCTTTTGATTATGATATATTGCTCATGCTGCCGCCATAAGAGTTAGTCATAGAAATCATAATAATGATGGTAGTCTTAGGTTTAGTTTGGAACAGCTTTTTTATTATTTTCTTAAGCAATTTTTTAATACAAAAATTTTCAATTTTAAAAAATTTTGAACTAAAAAATTATTTTAGAAAGCACTAAAAAGCTGTCACAAACAAAATCTTAGTTATGATTGGAACTATTTTCCACCTTGTCAACATTATTAAAGGACTAATCAATCTGATAACTATGAGAATTTTTTTTTATGGTTCTCTAACTTCTCAACATGCCTTTACTGGTTCATTGGATAATTTTTAGACGTTTTTTTTAGAGAAGATCATCCCACTAAATCCTTGATTCTCTCAATTTTGTTGCAATCTTGGGATTTGCAAGGGAACATCATGAGTTATGCTGGGATAATCAAAACAATAATTAAAAAGAAACATAAATGCCTAAATTCAGTTTTGATCACTTGAACTCAAATTTTTTCTGTAAGCTCCCTCTGCTCCTCCAAGATATGAGTAAGGTTTGACAAGTTTAGTTAAAAAAGATCCACTTTCAATAGACATGTCAAAACTTTTGATCGAACAAAATTGATAGAATATTGAAGTTGGAGAAAGACTGTGCCAACTTTGGTTAGCAATATTGACAATATCCATGAGCACTGGTAAGTTAAAGAATCATTCGTCTAAATATAATCATTATATATGATGAATTTAATAAAATAGATAGTAATTTCATAACTTAAATAAGCATACCAGAGTGGCATATCCTGATGGCAAATGCGTGATAAATTCATCTGCTTTTGCAGCTTTGGCAGCTGTTATAATCTCCTCCATTGTCGCATCTTCTTTTCCAAACAAGATGTTCTCTTTTATGGAGGTTGCAAAGAGCACAGGTTCCTGGCTTACTAACCCCATCTGCGCCCTAAGCCACTTCAGCCTCAATTTCCTTATGTTCACTCGATCCAGTAATATCTCACCGGTAGTGGGGTCATAAAATCTCTGTAGAAGTGAAATCAATGTCGATTTTCCAGACCCGCTCTCTCCCATCAACGCCATTGTCTTCCTTGCCTCTACAATCAAATTGAACCCCTTAAAAACCTCCATGTCTGGCGTGGATGGATACGAGAATCTCACCTCCCTAAATTCCACCTCCCCCTTGAGTTCTCCTATCTGTTCCCCCTCGCTACTCTCTGAGTCGATCATAGGCCTTTGTTTTATCACCTTCATTATTCTCTCTGCGGCACTCATTGCCTCCACAAAGTACTTAACATTGGAAAAACCTATGCCAAGTGCTTGGCCTCCATACACAATGCAAAAGCCAACGCTTACGATTGTGCCTCCTTCGGCACCGTGATGTTGGACTAAGTGGCTTCCGTACCAAAAAATAAAGGCATAGATGGCAAAGATGACGTTGTTGCTACCGATTGCAAGGCTTTTAACAAGATCTTGGCGGAGAAAAAGTCGCACTGAGCAATCAAGTGCTGCTGAGAAAGCTGAAATTGTGTGGAGCTCAGCTGTGGAGGAGTAGACTGTGCGTATGGCCGAGAGTGCCTGTTCTACGATGATTGTAGCCTTGTCATTCTCTGTATGAATCCTGCGAGCCAAACCAAGTAGAACTTGTCCACAGATGAAACCAGGAATGACGAGCAGTAGTAAAGTCGGGAATGCCACCAATGCCAACCGCCATAACAGAATGAATGCAACTACATAATTCCCGATGAAGAACGAGCAGTTCATTATAAAATTGGGGGCCTAGACTAGATATTAATTTGTTTATTGTTAGGAACGAAAATGAAATAACATTGTCTAAATATTAGGCAAGCAAGTAGTAGATCACTTTTTTACCTTCTCACTCAGAACATCCTGTATGACAAGAGAGTCGTTGGAGACCATGTTGATGACCTCAGCGGTGGAGGCCATTTTGACATCGAAATAGCCCACATCTTGTCTCATCACTGCCTTTAAATACCGAGCACGCATCCTCGACGTTAGGCGCTCTGCTGTTATCGTGCAACAGTACCGCTCTGCATTCAATCGATCAAAGGTGAGAAAATGATCTTATCAACAAAAAGATGATGATGGTAATAACTGATAAAATATCAAATAACTTGTTGCTTATTCATTACCAAGGAATGACACAACCAAAGAACCTGCTCCGAGGTAGAGATATCGGCTGGCATTAAGGTTCATGTTGGCGATGAAATTTGGAGAAGAAGGACCCATGCCAATATTGTTGAAAAGTTTAGCAAATAAAACGTACAAAATGGATTGGGAAAGGCCATCAAAAATGGCACCGAGGTAGCCAACAGCAATCAGGAAACAATCGAAAACATCTGCATGCTTGAAGATGCTCATAAAAGATAATAGCAAAGAATTACTCCTTTTCTCCTCCATTTTCTCCTTGCTCTCTGCTCCTTCCACCAGCATAAAGGTTATCACAATATCTATTTGATACAAATTATATAAAAAAATTAACTTGAGAACCACCTCATTTATTTTACATTAAACTCGATCAAAACAAATTAAATAATTTTCAATCCTTTCCTAAATTTTTATCATGATATGTCGACTAAATTAGGCCCACCTACCTCACGTTAATTACAATTAGCATTGAAAAAATCAACATCATCGAATGCATGTGTTTGTCTTGCTACCAAATGAATGCCAGAGATGCGCATATGTCACTGCAAGAAAAGGTTAGACTGAATTTTCTCGGCCTTTTTTTTTTTTTGCTAAGATCAAGTGGAATTTTTGTATTAGAGAATTTGATGACGAACATAACATAACGTTTTGTGCAGTTAGCTTTTGTCGTATTGAATTTGTTTACTGAGCATCATCAACACTTGGAAATGCCACAGGCAAGGCTTGTTGCTTGCACAAAAAACAAAAAAAAATAAAATAAAAAAAAGGATTAGATTCAGTCAAAATTCTGAATTTTTCTATGGAAAGATTTGTATTGACTTTTCTTCATTATTTGAATACTAATTTTAGGTTGTTATGCAGAATAGGGGTATAAACGAGTTGAATTGAGTCAAGTAATGGTATTATCGAGCTGAGCTCGTTTACCTCATCCTGAGCTCTAGCTCGACTCGAGCTCATTTAATGAGCTCGAACTCAACTCGATGTATAAAAATCAAGCACAACCTCGACTCAATTACTCAAGCTCGTTTAAAAAACTCGAGTTCAGAAGATTTCAGATACAAAGGAAGTGGAACAGCTGGGACAAAATGTCTTGATCAGGAAATCTGCTGATTGGGCAGCAGAAAGTATTTTGATGGTGGAACTTCCTGATGGGCATGACAAGAAAAACATGTTCTCATTGCTTCAAACAGTCAATGAAGATGGGAAGGCTGATAGTAAGAATATAAATAGTACCATGGTTGATAGAGAAGAAGGGGAGCTGATAGAGGATGGAAAAAATGCTAATAAAGTGGGTGTTCAAAACACTTTGATGAATAAAGTGAAGAAAGAAGGCAAAGGTGATGGGATTCAGAATGAAGTTGATTGTGTTGTTCTGGAGAAATCGGTCTCTGGTACCCAAAAACAAAAGCTTTTGAAAGAACTTAAGCACTTGGGGCCTTTGAGCAAGTCGACTAGATCCAAAAAATCAGATGCAAATTTTAAAGGTAAATGTGGGGGTCCTTCCCCACCTTTATCCAAATGACTTCTCTTGCCTTTTGGAATTGTAGGGGGGCAAATAAGAGGGAAGCCTCCCTATATTTAAAAGATTTTGTAAAAGAATGGGATGTCTTCTTTGTTGGGGTGGTTGAAACCAAAATCTCTTCTTTTGAGAGATATGAAGTGAATAAATTGTTGGGTGATGATTGGGATTATTTTTTATATCCCTCGGTTGGTGCTTCCAAAGGTATTATGGTATTATGGAAAGTTAATTTTACAAAATTTTCAGTAATATAGGCTTCACCTCAATGTGTGATTGGGGAATTAAGTCTTTTCAATAAAAGTAAGGTTTCTACTGTATATGGAAACAAAAATCCACATTTGAGAAGAAACTTGTGGGAAGTATTAGAAGATAAAAGTGATAAGAATATCCCTATGGTGGTGGGAGGGGATTTCAATTGTATACTTTCACAAAAAGAAAAGAGGGGTGGAAAGAAGTTCTCTTTTTCTCAAGGCCCACAAGAAATGTCTGCATTTATGTCAAGAAATGACCTACATGATGTGGGAATAGTGGGTCCGAAATTTACCTAGTGCAACAACAAAAGTGGAAATGCTCGTATACTTGAAAGGATGGATAGGTGTCGTTTGAACTCCAAGGCATTGAATGAAGCTCATAATGCAGTGGTAAGACATTTGGCACTACAGGAAAAACAGCTCTTACCGGCGGCCATAACCGGCAGTTTATAGGCCGCCAGTTTTACCGACGGTTTGGGCGGCGGTTTAGCCGCCGGCGTTTAACGGCGGCTTACCGGTGCCTATCCCTCATTGTGCCGCCGGTACTAACGGCGGTTATATAACCGTCGCTAAACCGCCGGACAACAATATGGACCGGCGGTTTACCGACGGTGTTGGCCATCGTTGATAAGTAAATTTTGACCGACGGCACAAACCGCCGGTACACCGCCGGTAGAAGCCCTAAAATGAACACCCGCGCCTCGCATTTCATTTTCACTTTTTCCCTCTTCTCTCTCTCGGTCGCTCTGCCCTAGCTCGCCTCCGACCCCTCCTGAACCCCGAATTGACTCCGCCGCCGACGTGTCTTCTCCGGCCGCCGACAGATCAACTCCGGCCGCCGATAGCTCTTCTCCGACCACCAACCTACTCCCTAACCGAAGGTAACCGTCGATCTCTCTTCTCCGGCCGAATTTACTTCAAGCTTTATAAATGAAATGGATATTATAACTAAATTAGCAAATGGAATGTACTTCAAGCTTTATAAGCTCATTTATCTTACTAGCAATTAGGTCATCGGAGACAAGAAGAAGAAGACGAAGTGTGGATTCGAATGCATATTTCTTAAGAGTTAAGAGAGAGAGCGAGAGAGATTCCTCATTTTGTGGGCAAAAAATCATTCATATAACAGAATGCATTTAAAAATGTACATTGCCAAAGAAAATGAGTTGGTGTGAAATCAAAATTTAGG